GGAGAGATCAGTAACATGACAGGTATCTTCAAATGTTTAATTTATGAATACACTGGTGAATATTCTCAGTTATCCAGGTCATGTTCGATCAAAAAAGAGTTAAAAACAAAAACAATTGGACTTTCAATTCCAAAGTTGAAGATGTTTTGCTCCCCAACCAGGAGGCATTTTCACTTCAAAGTCTGTAGTGAGCTGAKATGCTGGCTTTAATAGATCCACCTGAGAAGCCGTTTGAGGACTTGGATTCACATCTAAATGGAGCCAATCGTCCTTCACAATGGAGGCCCTGTGTGACTCCCAAAAGAGGTGTTTTGGTCACATGTTTGAAGGTATGAACTTTCTGCCTGTTTCAAAACGCCCTCCTTATTCCTTTTGTCTGTATGATTTGTGAGAGAGCTGTTTTTGGTCACATTCCTGAGGGTGTGAGTTGGGGTGAAACTGACAGGGAATCTGGCTTAAAACTGCATTGTAAGTTTTTGATAGTTGAAATCGGAGGCCTACTCCTCTGAGTTCTGTTGATAAATTCTGACGATTTTTTTCCAAGACAACATACCGGTACATCTCAAACCCAACCGAACCCTTCGACAGAGTTTGGTCCATCCCAAAGGCAAGACCCCTAAACCCAAGCTGAGCAGTGTGGTTTATAAAAATAATAATAATAACGCGTTTTATCTGTTAGCCCCTTTCAAGACACCCAAGGGTACCTCACAACATTAAAAACACAATATTAACAATAAAATGGCAATAAGAAAACACTAAAATTAAAAGAAAATAACTAAGAAATTAAAGTGAGAAGACTAACTCGAACAGATGCATTTTGAGTTGTTATTTAAAGTAAAAAGAGAGTCAATATTATGGATGTCAGAGGAAAGAGCGTTCCAGAGTTGTATGCAGTTCAATGGACTGTACTTATATAGCGCCTTCCTATCCATCCATGACACTCAAAGCGCTTCACATTACAGACATTCACCCATGCACACACACATTCACACACTGATGATGGCAAACTGCAATTGTAGCCACAGCTGCCCTGAGGCACGCTGTCAAAGGCAAGGCTGCCATGCACCGGTGCCACCGGACACTCTGACCACCACCAGTAGGCAAGGTGGGTAAGGTGTCTTGCCCAAGGACACAACAACTGAGTCGACTGGATGGGAATGGAACCAGCAACCTTCTGATTCCAGGACAACTCCCCTAACCACTCTACCACAGCCACCCCAATGCAGTGAGGAATGTTCAGACCTTTATATTGGAGAAACTAAACGTCTCAACAAACGCATGGCTCAACACCATAGAGCAAGCTCTTCAGGACAAGACTCAGCTGTCCACCAACACCTCAAGGATAAGGGACACTCACCTAAGGACCAGAATGTTCATATTTTGGACAGAGAGGACATATGGTTTGRGAGAGGGGTAAAGGAAGCCATCTACATGAAACAAGAAAGGCCAACGCCAAACAGAGGATGAGGCCTCAGATTTCAACTATCAAAAGCTTACAATGCAATTTTGAGCCAGATTCCCAGTCAGTTTCACCCCAACTCATACCTTCAGGAATGTGACCAAAAACAGCTCACTCACAAATCATACAGACAGAAGGACTAAGGAGGGCACTTTGAAACAGGTAGATATYTCACACCTTCAAGCATGCGACCAAAACACGTCTTTTGGGAGTCAGGGCCTCCATTGTGAAGGATGATTGGCTCCAGCATGATTTACATGTGAATCCRAATCCTCTCATGGCTTCTCAGGTGGATCTATTAAAGCCAGATTCTCAGCTAACTACAGACTTTGAATTGAAAAAGCCTCCTGGATCGGAAGAAAAACGTCTTCAACTTCAGAATTGAAAGTTCAGTTGTTTTTTTTTAAATCTTTTTTGATTCATGAATACATAAATCATTACTTATTTTAATGCTACATAAACCTTTTTATGTTTTAGATTCTCCAGATTGCTTCCAATGTCCCACAGAATTCTGGCCCAATACAGAAAAAGATGCTTGTTTACAAAAACCTGTGGAGTTTTTGTCTTTTGATGAAGTCCTGGCTATCTTCCTGGCTGCATTATCCATTTTCGGGGCCTGTCTGGCCATCATAACTGTAGTTATTTTCTTTCAACACAGAACAACTCCAATTGTAAGAGCCAACAACTCTGAGCTGAGCTTCCTGCTCCTCTTCTCTCTGACTCTGTGCTTCCTATGTCCATTAACTTTCATCGGAGCTCCCTCTGAGTGGTCCTGCATGCTGAGACACACAGCGTTTGGTATCACCTTTGTTCTCTGTATCTCCTGTGTTCTTGGCAAAACTGTAGTGGTTTTAATTGCCTTTAAAGCTACACTTCCAGGTAGTAATGTCATGAAATGGTTTGGGCCTGCACAACAAAGAATGACTGTACTTTTTCTTACATGTATTCAAGGTTTAATATGTGTTATTTGGTTGGTTGTCAACCCTCCATATCCAATGAAAAACCTGAGCACATACAAGGAGAAGATCATCCTGGAATGTGCATTAGGCTCTGCTGTTGGCTTCTGGGCTGTGCTCGGCTACATTGGCCTGCTGGCTGTTTTTTGCTTTGTGTTAGCTGTTCTAGCTCGGAAACTACCTGATAATTTTAATGAAGCCAAGCTGATAACCTTCAGCATGCTGATATTCTGTGCAGTRTGGATCACCTTCATCCCAGCATATGTCAGCTCTCCTGGAAAATTTACTGTGGCTGTGGAGATWTTTGCCATCCTGGCCTCCAGTTTTGGACTGATACTGTGTATATTTGCTCCAAAGTGTTTCATCATATTATTTCAGCCAGAGAAGAACTCCAAGAAACATTTAATGAACAAAAACTAATTGATAAGTAGCAAAAGTTTTAAAAGTATACCATGCCTTCATCTACATTGAATTTAAGACTGTCTTGGATTTATTGTTTATGTATGTCACTATTCTATACTGGTGAAATTTTTAGTTTCAAAAGATTTCCTAACATTTGAATAATTTAATTTTAAATCAATGTTTTACTAACATTAACATTCTTAATCAGGAAAAAGTATCTAAAATTGTGTTGGTTGCTCTAAGGCTGTTCAAAAATGTCTGTTGATTCAGAGAAAAAAATTCTGCTACAGGGGACATTAAATTTCTTTTCTATTCTATTCTATTCTATTCTATTCTATTCTATTCTATTCTATTCTATTCTATTCAAGTTGGCTTCTGAACAAACCAAAAAAAACTGATTAATCTATAAATGCTGCAGACTGATGAGTCAGGTTCACTGTTTCAGGTTAACAATTGTCTTTAAAAACTCTAGTGTTGTAGTACTTGAAACCGGTCTTGGTCTTAAGACCACTTATTGATGGTCTTAGTCTTTTCTCAGATTCAACAACATTTACACTCTGTCTTGTCTCGGTCTCAGACGTTGAGGACTTAGAATTTTATTTCAAGACCACATCTGTGGAAATATCACTAAATAGCCAAATTATTGTCCAATTTATTATTTAACWTTCTTGCTTTCGTTGAACAAACAAAAAAAACTGATTAATCTATAAATGCTGCAGACTAATGAGTCAGGTTCACTGTTTCAGGTTAACAATTCTCTTTAAAAACTCTAGTGTTGTAGTACTTGAAACCGGTCTTGGTCTTAAGACCACTTTTGATGGTCTTAGTCTTTTCTCAGATTCAACAACATTTATACTCGGTCTTGTCTCGGTCTCGGACGTTGAGGACTCAGAATTTTATTTCAAGACCACATCTGTGGAAATATCACTAAATAGCCAAATTATTGTCCAATTTATTAGTTAACATTCTTGCTTTCATTGGATTTAAAACACACTGATTCAAATCCAAACCTGACTCATTGCTATTTACCGGCTATCTCCTATCCCCACTCTCTTCACTCACACTCAGCACTCCAGGAAAGTACAGTAAGCAGTGGTTCTCTGGGAGCAATAAAAGATGTCTTCAAAATTTTAAGTAAAAATGTTTGGCTACATTATTCATAAATAATATTGTAAAACAACAACAACAACAGAAGAAAGTATACAGCAACTTGTAAATTCGTCAGTGCTTCACTTTCAGGGACGATGAGGACAACTTTAAACTTTTGTCGTCACTAACGTTAACAATCTGCCTCTGTAGCAAAATTCTTTCCTCTGCCCTAAAACAAAGATTTTGTCAAAATTAGCTCTATTAAGTTTACTACAGTGTGGAAAAATATATTTAGTCAGCCACTAATTGTTCAAGTTCTCCCACTTAAAAAGATGAGAGAGGCCTGTAACTGACATTATACGTAGATCTCAACTATGAGACAAAATGAGAAAACATGTCTAGAAAATCACATTGTCTGATGTTTTAAGAATTTATTTGCAAATTATGGTGGAAAATAAGTATTTGGTCAATAACAAAAGTTCATCTCAATACTTTGTTGTATATTCTTTGTTGGCAATGACAGAGGTCAAATTTTTTCTGTAAGTCTTCACAAGGTTGATACACTTTTGCTGGTATGTTAGCCCATTCCTCCATGCAGATCTCCTCTAGAGCAGTGATGTTTTTGGGCTGTCGCTGGACAACACAGACTTTTAACTCCCTCCAAAGGTTTTCTATGTGGTTGAGATCTGGAGACTGGCTTGGCCACTCCAGGGGCCTCATGCATCAATGGTGCACACACACAAAAGCCTTGTGTACGCCATTTTCCACGCAAAACTCCGGTTGTATGAAAACTGAACTGAGCGTGGAAATGTGCGCAGCCCCACACCAACTCCTGGGCTGGCCTACACACATTTCTGTGGTTCTGGTTCCATTGGCGACACTTAGAGGTGATTCTGAGAAACTGTTTATGATGTGAAAATGATTATTGTTCACACCAGAGACACATGATTAACAATTATTACATCCACATTGTTATGAATGCCTTGGTTAGGTAAGAACCCCAGATGCAGGACTGAGTGAGGTGGAAAAAATATTTAATAAAATGAAAACAAAGAGGCTGACGTGGCAGCAAACTAAATACAAAAGCTTGACTTTGGCTAGAAACAAGAAGTTGAATATCCAACAGAACACATAAACAGTTAACAAGGATCTGACAAACACTGAAGACACTGAACAGAATATAAAAGGAAACTAATGACTAGAAACAAGATACAGCTGGGGAAGAAACATGAGGATCAGGTGTGAGTGAGCGGGGCTGGAGCACAGGCAGACAGGAGTAAGAAAACAGATGACAAGACAGAAAACTAGAATAAAACATKAACACAGACACAAATCAAAACATACATGGAGTAAGAGTTAGACAAAGGATGCGCAAAATTGTGCCAAAAATACATTTAACAGGAATGGATTCAGCCTTACTGAAAGATATAATAAATAGTGTAACATGCAGAGCATTGATTTATAAACAGATATAATTTTCTGATCCACAATGAGAGTGGCTCATCACTCATTTTCAGGACTAATCCTTTTTCAGTTTGGCACTGCTGTGCTCTGCGTGACACAGCGAGGAGCCGCGTGCGCCACACATGCACATGCAGAAGCAGCAACCAAACTGAGGTTCCACAGGAGCTTTCCAGAGGGAGCTGGCAGACCGATCAGGACCATGCCAGTCCAGTCCACCCAAAGCAGAGTCATGCCCAATGGAACGGTCTCATCCATWTGATTCTAAAGGCTGAGTTATGGTCGCGCTTCGGAGCGCGYGCACCCTCGCTGGCAGTGGAGGTGTTTCGCGTTTATGTTGTTGTGGATTTCTCCAAAATGTCACATGGAAGTACACTTTACAACTTGTGAAAATGCTATAAGTAGGAGAGCAAAAGATTGACAGACAAACAGACTGTGCACAAAGCTTGCGGCGCGTGCAGCGTTTGTGGGGACTCTCCAATATCATGTCATGTGAACTCCCCACTGATGCGCAGAGACTTGTTTCTTCACATCAGCTATGAAGTAAACAAAGATTTAAGTTCTACTAAACACCCGAGTTCCTCTGTGCTTACAGTAATAATGGTAATAAACTCGTGCGCAAAGTTACTATTTTCAGACCCAGAACGGATGGATGAGCCAGTTGCGCAACACAGCAGTGTGCGTGTGCGCGCACACACACACACACTGACACATAATCACTCATTCTTTGCGTGATAAACATATTTTATTCCTATTTTTACTTAGGATTTTTTTTCACTCACAYTATATTTAATTCATTATTTTCCTGACTCTAGAAATCATTTCTGATCGCTCAGGGATCACTCAAACATGACCATCACACATGCAGGAAGTAATTTGCATCTGTTTAACATATGTTAATGATGGCGTGTCAGGGGAGGTGTCTCAGTGCGCTCAGTTCCACGTTGATTGTGATGTACAAAAGCAATGTGCATGGATTCCAGCGTATGCACGGTTTGATACATCTGGATTTTTTTGTGCATACGCCGTTTTCTGGATTTGACCGTACGCCACGTTTCAGTAATAAATCCACGCAAGTCTTTGTACATGAGGACCCTGGACCTTGAAATGTTTCTTAAGAAGCCACTCCTTCATTGCCCCGGTGGTGTTCTTGGGATCATTGTCGTGCTGAAAGACCCAGCCATGTTTCATCTACAATGCCCTTGCTGATGGAAGGAGRTTTGCACTCAGAATCTCACGATACATGGCACTGTTCATTCTTTTATGTACATGTATCAGTCATCCTGGTCCCTTTGCAGAGAAACAGCCTAAAGCAYGATGTTGTCCCCTCCATGCTTCACAGTAGGTATGGTGTTCTTTTGATGCAACTCAGCGTTCACTCTTCTCCAAACACAAGTTGTTTTTACCAAACAGTCCTACTTCGGTTTCATCTGACCATATGACTTTCTTCCAGTCCTCTTCTAGAACATCCAAAAGATGCAAACTCTAGCAAACATCAGACGGGCCTGGATATGTTCTTGCTTAAGCAGGGAGACACGTCTGGCACTGCAGGATCTGAGTCCCTGGTGGTGTAGTGTGTTACTGAGGGTAGCCTTTCTTACCTCAGTCCCAGCCTTCTGCAGGTCATTCACTAGGTCTCCCCTGTGTGGTTCTGGGATTTTTGCTCACCGTTCTTGTGATCATTTTGACCCCACGGGGTGAGATCTTGTGTGGAGCTCCTGATCGAGGGAGATTATCAGTGGTCTTGTAGGTCTTCCATTTTCTAATTATTGCTCCAACAGTTGATTTCTTCACACCAAGCTGCTTGCGTACTGCAGATTCAGTCTTTCCAGCCTGATGCAGGCCTACAGATTGTTTCTGGTGTCCTTACACAGCTCTTTGGTCTTCACCATAGTGGAGGTTTTTGGAGGGACTGTTTGAAGTTGTGAACAGGTGTCCTTTATACTGATAACAAGTTCAAACAGGTGCCATTACTGCAGGTAATGAGTGGAGAACAGAGCCTCTTAGAAAAGAAGTTACAGATCTGAGAGAGACAGAAATCTGGCTTGTTTGTTATTGACCAAATTCTTATTTTCCACCATTTCAAATAGATTCTTTAAAAAATTGTGTTATTTTCTAGATGCTTTCTCATTTTGTCTCTCATAGTTGAGGTCTAACTATGATGAAAACTACAGGCCTCTCTCATATTTTTAAGTGGGTTAACTTGCACAATTGGCTGACTAAATACTCCCCTCCCCCCACTGTACACGTGTACAGAATACTCAATCGTTTAGGACACTATTTTTTTTTATTTWTTTTTTTCCTGGTCTTGGTCTTGTCTCGGTCTTGCCCTCCCTTGAACTTGGTCCCGACTTGGTCCAAACCCTAAAAGACTTGGTCTTGTCTCGGTCTCGAGACACTGTGGTCTTGGTCTTGACTTGGTCTCGGGTTAGGAAATCTTGACTACAACAATAAAAAACACTGATGACACGTGTTTAATTTTATGTAATTTTGAATTAAAATTGTACAACATGTTAAAATACATAGTCTGCAGACTGCCCCTCCTCTATCTCAGATAAGAGTGAGAAGAAAAAAAAAGMCTGTATACTGAAACATCTCAGTTAAGCATCTCATCAGAGTACAAGGCTATTTATGCAATTGCTCATGCCATTCACAAAACAGTGTGTCAAAAAAACAAACTTCACAACTCAGTGTGACAAAAATATCAAACTGGAGCCCAAATAGATCATTAACAAGGCTGGCTAGTTACTGGTGAATGACAAACTGACGTAGGGTAGAGGAGGTACATCAGCAAATGAAAAGAAAAAAACCAAAATGCTAACACTTGAAGAATATAATTCAGATCTGTCTTCATGGGCCTGACAATAGCTGTGAGTTTGTTAACACTGTTGTCAGTGGTTGGTCTGAGTCAAAGGATTTCATCTAATAAGGTTCTGACTGGTGTTGGTGTCACTACTGAGGCTTCATCAGTAAAATGTACCCAGCGAGGCACCGTTCGTTTACCTGCATTTGCAAAAGATGGTGACTTTGTTATTGGAGGTGTTTTCTCCATGCACTACAAACTGCACACAGCGATTTATAATTATACCATTAAGCCTGAAGCTTTAAGATGCACAGGGGGGTAAGTGAGAGGAACTACTGGTTGGAAAAGATTGTCAAAAGTATAAGAATGGAAACTTTTTGAATTGCTGCAAATAATAATAATTTTTTTGTACTCCATTAGAACTTTGTTTGGTTAACATGGATATAATTTAAATGAAAAAAAATAATAAAAAAGAGGTTGTTGATTTTTACATTTTGATGCCTTTAATTCTATGTGTAATTATGTTCAGCATACAGCAATATTAATTATAGATAACATAATTTCTCTGTTGTGAAAAATAGACATAATTTAATACTGTGTGTCATTTTATTTGTTTCTTGGAACTTTTATATATATATGTCATCTTTTTGATGAATTTATAATCTCCATTTCAGCACTCATACAACTGTTTTTTGTGCAGCATGAGTGTTCGCAGTCTGCAGTTCTCTCGTACAATGATCTTCGCCATTGAGGAAATAAACAACAGTACAGAGCTGCTGCCAGGCATCAAACTTGGWTATCAGATCTATGACTCATGCACCTCAGGGCCTGGGGCATCTGACGCAGCGTTTCAACTATCGAATGGTAAAGACCCAATGTTTTATGAAGGCAAAAACTGTTCCCAATCTGGTGTAGTGATGGCTGTTGTTGGAGATTCTGGATCTTTGGAATCCATCAGCATATCTCACGTCATTACAGCCTTCAACATCTCACAGGTAAATAGTTTGTTATTGATAAAGAAATGCATAAAATATACCTTTGGATTAAAAAGCAATAACAATATTTTTCCATGTAAATATAGGTGAGTTATGCTGCCACTTGTGCATGTCTGTCAGATAAGCAGCAGTACCCAACGTTTTTCAGAACGATTCCCAGTGATCAGTTCCAAGTTGAGGCATTGGTAAAGCTGGTGAAACACTTTGGCTGGACTTGGATTGGTACTGTTTACTCAGACACCGATTATGGAAATTTTGGCATGGCATCTTTTCTTCCGGCTGCAAAAAAAGAGGGGATCTGTGTGGAGTACTCTGAATCCTTATATCGAACCGACCCACATAGCAAGATCCAGAGAGTGGCTGATGTGATCCGCAGGTTAGAACATGACAAAATATTTCATTTACTGTACACAACTGAGACATTTGTCTAAAACATGAATAGAAAGGTATTTCTAAAAAATTTTTTGTTACAGAATAATCTGAAGTTAGTTTTTTGTATTTTCTCAATATGTTATTATATTTGTTACTGCACACATACCCAGTAGTTATGCCTATATAAAAATAATTTACACAAGATACATGTAATTCTAATGTGGTATAAATGAGCTAACTGATTACACTCTATTATTGCTTTAGATCAACAGCTCTGGTTGTTGTGGCTTTTTTTGCCTCTGGAGATATGAAGGTACTGTTAGAAGAGCTGGCTCTGGAGCCTCCACCRCCTCGTCAGTGGATAGGAAGTGAAGGCTGGATRGCYGACCCACTTTTCATGAGTTACAGTTTCTGTGCAGGAGCCATTGGAKTTGCYAYTCAGAAATCWGTTATTCCAGGTCTGAGAGACTTCCTGTTGGATCTCTCTCCCAGTGAAGTAGCTGCCTCCTCAATGCTTACTGAGTTCTGGGAGGTTTCATTCAACTGCACATTGATAAAAAGTAAGCAAATTTCACCATGAAAACAACATAGACAAAATAGCACTAGTTAAATCATTATTATTTTGAATCTAAGACAATAAATGAAGCAATGTACTGCTGTGTTGAGACATGTTCTTGATTGTTCGAACTAAAGAAAATGACACTTGCTGCTGGTTTTTATGTTGCTGATGCCTCTGCTAATGACATAACAGTTATTTTAAATGTTGACTATTTTGTGTACAATAATTTTTTGTAGTTCCTTAAACAACATCACTTAGTATTTCATTTTAGACAGATTAAACAATCTTTGTTTGTCTTTATGTGTACGTAGTGGCCAATACAGACAAAAGAGTGTGTGATGGAAAAGAAGACATTAAAACACTAAAAAGTCCGTACACGGACACATCTCARTTAAGAGTGACTAACATGGTGTATAAAGCTGTTTATGCAGTCGCTCATGCCATTCACRATGCAGGATGTCAGGAAACAAATCTCACCAYTCATTGTGACAGAAAGATCAATATGGAGCCCAAACAGGTCAACAGTGATGAAAACCTTTTTCACATTTTTTGTCATCCATCAGTTTTTTTACATACATGAAGTATTTGGTTTTTAACTTTGTTGTGTTTTTTCTTTCTTGTAAATAATTTACAGATTTTTAGTGCACTGAAAAATGTCAACTTTTCACGCAATGGCTACCATGTGTCATTTGATGCTAATGGTGATCCTGTCTCTTTTTATGAGCTGGTCAACTGGCAGAAGAGTGAAAGAGGAGTCACTGAGWTGATAACAGTAGGATATTATGATGCATCACTGCCTAAAGGCCAGGAGTTTCAGGTCAACAGGAACATATCTTGGGTAGAAGGTGTCACACAAGTAATAAACCTAATGACTACAATAAATAGTTTGAGAACTACTGAGCTCCTTTGTAAAACTAAAAAAAAATATGGCCATGTTGTTGTGACAGGTTCCAGTGTCAGTGTGCACTGAGAGTTGTCCTCCAGGAACCCGTAAAGTGTTGCAGAAAGGAAAACCCATCTGCTGCTATGATTGTATACCATGTCCTGAAGGAGAGATCAGTAACATGACAGGTATCTTCAAATGTTTAATTCATGAATACACTGGTGAATATTCTCAGTTACCCAGGTCATGATCAATGTAAAAAAGAGTTAAAAGCAAAAACAACTGGTCTTTCAGTTCTAAAGTTAAAGATGTTTTGCTTCCCATCCAGGAGGCTTTTTCACTTCAAAGTCTGTAGTGAGCTGATATGCTGGCTTTAATAGATCCACCTGAGAAGCCATGTGAGGACTTGGATTCACATAAAAATGGAGCCAATCGTCCTTCACAATGTAGGCCCTGTGTGACTCCCAAAAGAGGTGTTTTGGTCACATCTTTGAACGTGTGAACTATCTGCCTGTTTCAAAGTGTATTCCTTAAGCTGGAAACATACTTGCTCCGAACTGCCGACGTTGGAGTGAGTATTCCGGTTGTCGCAGTTTAGTGACGAAAATTGTGTCACCAGGCCTCGCAACGTCGTGTCGACAGTGCCTTTTGGCACAAGCCCCCGGCAGAACATTTTGATCCCCCTCCCGTGTCGACGGTAATGTGTAATTGGTCTGAACTGAAAGTGCTCGAACGGACACAGCAGAAGAAAAAAAGAAAAACTCGCTTTTGACTAGAGCAGGCTGTTTTGAGCAGTTTTAAAGATAGACAAACCGAGAAAAACTCATGCGTGTTTGTGCTGACAGCGCTGTGCACTGCATTTACTTCAACCCACTCTGTAAAAGAAGAAAAATAATGAAAAAAATGACTCGCACCCCGAGCCAACCAGGAAGCAGAGTTTTATAAAGATAGTCAAATTGTGAAAAACTTATGAATGGAGATAAACAGACGTTGTGCACAACCCAACCGAACCCTTCGACAGAGATTGGTCCATCACAAAGACAAGACCCCTAAACCCAAGCTGAGCAATGTGGTGTATAATAATAACGCATTTTATTTGTTAGCRCCATTCAAAGACACCCAAGGACACTTTACAACATTAAAAACACAATATTAACAATAAAATGACAACAAGAAAACACTAAAATTAAAAGAAAATAACTAAGAAATTAAAGTGAGAAGACTAACTTGAACAGATGCATTTTGAGTTGTTTTTTAAAGTAAGAAGAGAGTCAATATTATGGATGTCAGGGGGAAGAGCGTTCCAGAGTTGTATGCAGTTCAATGCAGTGAGGAATGTTCAGACTTTTATATTGGAGAAACTAAACAACATCTCCACGAACGCATGGCTCAACACCGTAGAGCAAGCTCTTCAGGACAAGACTCAGCTGTCCACCGACACCTCAAGGATAAGGGACACTCACCTAAGGACCAGAATGTTCATATTTTGGATAGAGAGGACATATGGTTTGAGAGAGATAGGGGTAAAGGAAGCCATCTACATGAAACAAGAAAGGCCAACGCCAAACAGAGGATGAGGCCTCAGATTTCAACTATCAAAAACTTACAATGCAGTTTTTAAGCCAGATTCCCTGTCAGTTTCACCCCAACTCACACCCTCAGGAATGTGACCAAAAACAGCTCACTCACAAATCATACAGACAGAAGGACTAAAGCAAGGCAGTATGTTTGCTCGGCAGCCAACCGGTCAACACGCCATCACATGGTTGTTCAGCGTTCATTTTCGCACAGACCTTTCATAGCTCCTGAGACACCCCGCGCCGAGCTCCTGGGAAACCCCTCCTGCAGCAGCATATGTCACTGCATGGGATTTCTTCCTGGGGGAGTCCAATGCGGGAAAAAAGTCCGAGACTCGTCACTTGACGTTATTTATCAACAAACTGGTCCTGGATTAAGCTCCAAAGATTTTAGCAGTCAGATTTCACTATGAAAAATGTCTGTTTTATCCCTTTTTGTGAGTTTTTGGACATTTGACTATCTTTATAAATCGCTGCTTCCTGGTACAACAGTGGGCTCTGGAAGCGATCGCTTTTTTCTTTATTTTTTCTATTTTTTTAAGCGAGTGGTTGAAGCAAATGCAGCGTCTGAGCACTTTCAGCACAAACAAACACTCCCACGAACTTCTGACCAATCACACCATATAGTTTGTATATGTTCTTAAGTGGAGGGGGGTGAAGAGTTCGACATGCGGGTTGCGACAAGAAGTGCCGAAGCATCGGCAATGCAAACAGAAGTCATGCAATATTCGTCATGAAACTGAGATAGTTCGGCATGATTTCGGCAGTTCGGCAGCAGCATCCTGGAGCCTTAAGCTTTGTTTATACTTCATGCAAGAAGTGCGGCTGCAGCCCAGCGATGACGTAATTGCGTGTGTCACCGACAGCATTGAGTGTTTATATTGGGAAAAGACGTGGGGGATACGTTACAGTAATCCCACCCTCTGCCCTCCCACCGCATAGCTTAGCATGTAAATAACTGCTTGTTGCTGTGAGGTTTGTGTTTTTGCATGATTATTTTCTGTTGTCCTTGTGCCTCCCTCTTGTGTATTCTTCTTGACATTGCCTCTTTATCTCAATTTCACCCTTCTCCAGATCTTTCCATTCACACTGGTCTACACTTGTAATTAGCTCAGCTGTCTTCCATTTCCACTCACCTCTGCTTGTATAAATACTGCTCAGTTTCTCTCCACCTTCGTCCGATCATTGTTTGGTCTCCCGCCCTGACTTCTCCTCGTGTTTACCTGCTCTCTGTAAGTTTTTGCACTGCCGCCCCACCAGTTTATTTGTTTATTATTTAATAAATACTTTTACTTTTTGAACATGCCTGCCTGCCTGTCTGCACTTGGGTCCAAACATGCCACCAAACCTGACAGTTGCTAGTTGCGAGTTTAGCTTGTTGGTTCAACAGATGCGGGAGATGGATGACGAAAAACACTTCTCCTATTTTCGAATGTCCGCTGCTCGTTTCAACAAACTTGCCCACCGGATCTCCCCTCACCTTCAGCACGCAGTAGACGAGTCACAGATGATTGTACCTCCGGACCGCCTCAGTGAGTTGCTCTTCGAAACTATCCATGTTTAGAAATAAAAACCGGCCTCTGGAAGGGAGTAGTGGGTAGCGATGTGACACAGCATATACTGACATCCAAACAAAATTGCCCACAAACTGTGAACCAATCACACGCTCCGAGCCGCAACCTCCACGCTTCGGGGTGCTGACAGGGGGCAATGTACAGGACAGCTGTCAACGGGATTGCAGCGGGAGTGCAGACGGATGTTGCAAAACTTTTTGTCACTCAGAGGGGGGTAAAAGACGTGCGACAAGAAGTATAAATCAGCCTTTAAGGAGGGCACTTTGAAACATTTTACACCTTCAAGCATGTGAACAGAACACCTCTTTTGGGAGTCAGGGCCTCCATTGTGAAAGACGATGGGCTCCAGCATGATTTACATGTGAATCCAAGTCCTCACATGGCTTCTCAGGTGGATCTATTAAAGCTACAGCTCACTACAGAATTTGAATTGAAAAAGCCTCCTGGATGGGAAACAAAACATCTTCAACTTTAGAATTGCAAGTCCAGTTGTTTTTGTTTTAAACTATTTTTGATTCACGAATACATCAATCATTACTTATTTTAATGATACATAAACCTTTTTTTGTTATAGATTCTCCAGATTGCTTCCAATGTCCCACAGAATTCTGGCCCAATGAAGAAAAAGATGCTTGTTTACAAAAACCTGTGGAGTTTCTGTCTTTTGATGAAGTCCTAGCTATCATCCTGGCTGCATTATCCATTTTCGGGGCCTGTCTGGCCATTATAACTGCAGTTATTTTCTTTCAACACAGAACAACTCCAATTGTAAAAGCCAACAACTCTGAGCTGAGCTTCCTGCTGCTCTTCTCTCTGACTCTGTGTTTCTTATGTCCATTAACTTTCATCGGAGCTCCCTCTGAGTGGTCCTGCATGCTGAGACACACAGCGTTTGGTATCACCTTTGTTCTYTGTATCTCCTGTGTTCTTTGCAAAACTGTAGTGGTTTTAATTGCCTTTAAAGCTACACTTCCAGGTAGTAATGTCATGAAATGGTTTGGGCCTGCACAACAAAGAATGACTGTACTTTTTCTTACATGTATTCAAGGTTTAATATGTGTTATTTGGTTGGTTGTCAACCCTCCATATCCAATGAAAAACCTGAGCACATACAAGGAGAAGATCATCCTGGAATGTGCATTAGGCTCTGCTGTTGGCTTCTGGGCTGTGCTCGGCTACATTGGCYTGCTGGCTGTTTTTTGCTTTGTGTTAGCTGTTCTAGCTCGGAAACTACCTGATAATTTTAATGAAGCCAAGCTGATAACCTTCAGCATGCTGATATTCTGTGCAGTATGGATCACCTTCATCCCAGCATATGTCAGCTCTCCTGGAAAATTTACTGTGGCTGTGGAGAT